GTGGGAGTATCCAGCACTTTAACCACCACGCCACCTGCTGGTCCCTAAAACTCTTAATTTTAAATGACTGCTTAATAGTCCTTAATATGCATGTAACATCATTTGTAGGTCTTGAACCCTATTATTTGATATTTGGGTATTTTGCTCTGGAAAACTAGCCTCTTTTGTGGTTAAAATTTGGCAGAAGGGGACCAGTAGATGGCATAATGTTTATGTCACTGGACTCCCAGGTAGTCAACCGCAGTTTGAGTCCCAGACCCAGTGGCTTAAACTCACGCCAGGCATGTGTGCGTGTGTGCCCAAAATCCCAAGGAGAATGGGGGAGAAGAGATTGTGGCGTGGCCATCCTCTGGGGAGGTTAATTTCTCACTTCCTGTCTCTGTCTTTCCGGAAAGTGCTCATGCCCTATAGCAAAAATCTCTATTAAAAAGAAAAAAAAAAAAAAAAACTTGGCACAAGAAGCCATCCCTAGCCCTCCTCTCTACCCTGGAGGACCCTTGTAAGACATTTTGCTGGGGATTCAACCTGCCTTGAAAGCGGCCTTGGGGACTGAGTTGCTCTTGCTAACAAACGCAGCTTTTTGCAACAGGCGCACTCTCCCACTCCCATTGCAGGGAAAGCCCTAGGAGAGCCGGGCCTAGGGGGCAGGTCCACCCCAAGAGTTGGGCTGAGCGTGGATGAAGCAATGGAGGGTGGTAGACAGCAGGGAGAAGCCAAGGGAGGACCTGACCCTGGAGAGGTTGGGGGACCCCACTGGCCATCCACCAAATGCTATGAGCCCCAACCCAGGGCAGCACCCTGTACCACATCCTGAGAACGTCTGAAAGGAGATGTGGCCTCTGCTTTTCAAGAGTTCCTTTAACTGCAAATTCTCAGATGTCAGAGTGCAGCCTGAAGGGCTGCTTGCAATATGGACTCCTGGGGCCTCAGCCCTGGACCAGATAGAGTAGGTGTCGGCAGGCCCAGAATCCTTCAGTCCCCCCGGGTGTCCCAGTGCAAGTGATTTGATTGGAGGCCACCGGTGGGTAGAGGTATCCGTCAAGGCTCTGGAAGGAAGTCTGCAAGATCAGCAGACCTGGGCCTCAATCTGCCTGCAGTAGCTTGACCTGTAGTTGGGTCTTAGGCTGGGACACTGGCCAGAAGACTGAGCCCAAGTCTCAGCTCCACTCTGCAGCTGCTGCATGGCCTCAGAGACTGACCTTAGGCTCTATCAGCCTGTTTCCTCAGTGTTTCCTATGTGAAATTCAGGGGAACCAGCAGTTAGCGTAAAGGCTATGTCACTGGACTCCCACGTAGTTGACCGCGGTTCGCGTCCTGGACCCGGTGGCTTAGAACTCACGTCGGGCGCGTGTGCATGCATGCCCAAGATCCCGAGAGGAGAATGGAGGAGAAGGGATTGCGGCGTGGCCATCCCCCCTGGGGGGTGATTTCTCGCTTTCTGTCTCTATGTCTCTCTCTGTCTGCCTGGCAAGTGCACGCGCCCTATAGCAAAAACCTCTCAAAAAAAAAAAAAATTCAGTGTGGAAGAGCTTAGCAGAGCGTCTAGCATTCAGACACTACTGTTAAATGAACTAAAATGAATTCTTTAATTAAGATGGTCCCATGGCATGATGAGTAAGGCGTTGGATCCCATATAACTAATTCTGTAGTTCGAGTCCCGTACTTGGCAACCTGGAAAACAAGCTGGATGGGTGTGCATGTGTGCTCAGAGTCGTGGAGTTACCATCCTCCCTGGGGGTGCCCTATAATGAAGGAAAAAAGAGATTGCCCCAGGGAAGTAACTAAAGCAAGGGCCTGGAAACATGCCCATAAAGCAGCCTGCCTCACCTCAATGAACATTCAATAAATGGCTGTCCAGGTCAGCGGATTGCATAGCAATTACATTACTGGACTCCCACGTGGCTGACAGAAGTTCAAATCCAAGATCTGGTGGCTTCAAAAATCATGCATGCATGCCCAAGATCCACTGAGAGGAGAATGGAGGAAAATGTGGCATAACCATCTCCCCTGGTGTCTCTATGTCTCTCTCTGTCTGCCTGGCAAGTGCACGCGCCCTATAGCAAAAACCTCTCAAAAAAAAAAAAAAATTCAGTGTGGAAGAGCTTAGCAGAGCGTCTAGCATTCAGACACTACTGTTAAATGAACTAAAATGAATTCTTTAATTAAGATGGTCCCATGGCATGATGAGTAAGGCGTTGGATCCCATATAACTAATTCTGTAGTTCGAGTCCCGTACTTGGCAACCTGGAAAACAAGCTGGATGGGTGTGCATGTGTGCTCAGAGTCGTGGAGTTACCATCCTCCCTGGGGGTGCCCTATAATGAAGGAAAAAAGAGATTGCCCCAGGGAAGTAACTAAAGCAAGGGCCTGGAAACATGCCCATAAAGCAGCCTGCCTCACCTCAATGAACATTCAATAAATGGCTGTCCAGGTCAGCGGATTGCATAGCAATTACATTACTGGACTCCCACGTGGCTGACAGAAGTTCAAATCCAAGATCTGGTGGCTTCAAAAATCATGCATGCATGCCCAAGATCCACTGAGAGGAGAATGGAGGAAAATGTGGCATAACCATCTCCCCTGGGAGGGGATTTCTTACTTTCACCTCTCACTGTCTCTGTCTCTCTCTCTCTGTCTCTCTCTTCAGAGAGCACATGTGCCCTAAGGCAAATACCTCTACAAAAAAATAGATGATAAATAAACAAGGGGTTGTCATCATTGTCCTTGGCCTCCTCTACACTTTAATCTAGGACTTGCCATCTTTGTAGCCATACCCACCACACGGCTTTACCCTCCCAATCGAAATCATGGACTTCCGGGCTCCAAACAGTGGGCTTAACATCCACCCTTAGTGCCTGCCCAGCGTGAGGAGATCTTCTCAGCTGCGTCCAGAAAGATGTGCCAGTGGCAGGTAGATAAGATGAGGACGAGAGGGAGCCTCACGTCCCTACTCCCAACTCCCTGCTCTTGGGGAAGTCTAGGCCTAGGCATTTGGTGCGGTCCCCCACCCCACCTCAGAGAGCTGTGGAGGCTGGAGGCTGTTGGGAGGTGAGAAGAAAGATGCAGGGTCACTATTGACAATGGCATTTTCAAGTGCTCATGGATGACGCGGTTGCCATGGCGATACTGATGGCTCTAAGCAAGCTGCGGCCTCTCTCGAGTTGTGAGTCAGGTTCAGCTTTATTTATTAAAAAAAGGAAATCAACACCCCGGCCTGTGGAGGACAATGGGAAGCTCCAAGTGGAGGTCACGACGGTGTCCACTGCTAGGGAGTGAGTCAGCGTGCTGGGCACAGCCCTGAGGTCCCCTGACATCCTGGGTACAGGCTCTGGAACAGTCCACAGGGTAGGTGGGAAGGCGAGCATCTCACACTGCGGCCAGGGAGAGGAAACACCGGCAGAGTCCGCACTGCTGGTTGGAGGCCACTTAATGGAAACGCATCTTGTTCTCTCAGCTGTGGCCCAAGGGCTAGATGCCTTCAGGGGACCCTGCCCCACTCAGGTATAGGAATTCTCAAGGCCCAATTCAGGCCAGCGAAGGCCATGGCCTGGCCCTGAGACGACCAGGGCTGGGCTGACCTCTCCTCATCAGCGTGACGCAGTAGGAATGCCCTCACTCCCACGCCTTGGTGGGCTCGGCTCCTAACCAGCTCTGCACCCCGAGCCCTTTCCTCCACCCACTGTCCTCGTTACTGAGCACAATGTTGCAGTGGTTAGGCCGCAGCTGCTGCCCACATGCTGGCTGGATTCGGTTCTCGTCCTGCCCCATACTAGGTATGTGACTGGGTCTCTGTCCCCGCCTGTAATAAAGGGGGGGATGACGGAAAGAGCCCAGCTCACAGGGCTCTCACAAGGAGGAGATGCGATCTTATTTGCAGATGTTTAATGTAGAGCCCGGCTGGCCCGGTGCACTAGAGAGCTGTCTTCCATTGTTCACTTCCCCCAGACCCTTGTCCTTTCATACCACCTGGTGACAGCAACAGCCTCACAGCTGATCACAGCCTTGCTCCAATCTATCGTCCATCCCATGACAGAGCGGTTTATCTAAAAGGCCATCTCAATCATGTGCTTTTCCTCCTTAAAATCTATGGGTGGTTGGGCCAGCCAGGTGGCATAGTGGTTATGGTGGCGGGATCCCTCGTGGTCGATCTCGTTCCAGTCCTGGATCTGACGGCTTGCTTTCTCACTTTCCCTCTCTCTGTCTCTCTGGTGAGTGCGCATGCCAATTTTTTTAAATAATGAAATTAAATAAATCATTCAAAAAAGAAATAATATATCCACCAGTGGTTGGGTAGCATGGTAGTAAAGGCAGCTAGTTCCCACACGGCTGAGTGCACGGTTCAAGTCCTAGACCTGGTGACTTGGAAAAAACACCAGGTTCATGTGTGTGCCTCAACCCCCAAGAGAATAATAGAGGAAGAGGGATTGTAATGTGTATCCTCCTCCACTCTCCCACCCCCCCAGCAGGGGGCGCTTCCTCACTCTCTCACACACACACACACACACACATACACACACACACACACACACACACAGTGAGCACACACACTAGGGAAAAACTAAAAACAAAACAAAACACTAAAAAACATCTATAGCGAGACCAGCAAGCAAATGTTGTCATGGTTTTGTCGCTGGACTTCCACAAAGTGGACTGCGGTTCAAGTCCCAGACCTGATGGCTTGAAACGCACACTGGGTGCGTGCGTGTGCGTGCATGCCCAAGATCCCGAGAGGAGAATGGAAGAGAAGGGATTGCGGCGTGGCCACCCCCTCTGGGGGGTGATTTCTCACTTCCTGTCTCTCTGCCTCTCTCTGTCTCTCTGGTGAGCACATGTGCCCTATAGCAAAAACCTCGATCTAAAAAAAAAAGAGAAAGAAAGAGAAAACGGAGAAAGAAAGAGAGGGAGAGAGAGAAAACCTCTCTGTGGCTCCCATCTGCCTTCGGTGTCACTCTCTTGACTCCTGAGCGGCCTCCCAGACACTGTACAACCTTCCCTCAGCTATGCTCTCCAGCCCTGCGTCTCCCCACACCCTCCCTGCCCTGACAAGCCCCATTCCCGCTGTGACCCAGGTACCAGCCCTGGTGAGCTCCGAGGATCGAGGATCGAGGATCGAGGATCTCGTGCCTTTTCCCGACCGCAGCTGCCCCTTCCCGTTTTGTCCGCTCAAGCAGCACTTGCCCATGCTCCGAGACCACGCTGAGATCTCCCTTCCGTGGAAACTTTCTGCCCGCCCTGAGTGCACAGTGAGTTGCTCCCTCCGACCAGATAATCAGCTTAGTGCTGTCCACACCGCCGGGGCCCCTCGAGCTCCAAGGGCAGCACTGATTCTAACTTCTGTGTCCCCAGAGCATACCACGGTGCCATGACATTCACAAGGGATGGCTGTTACTCAATGAATGAATGAAGGCCCCACGGGGCAGCGATGTGGCTAGAGTCCAGGAGCGCTGTAACTCCAGCCACTCCGACTTCAAGGACTACATTTCATCATTCGTCAATCTCTTGGGGTGTTTGTTTGTTTGTTTGTTTGTTTTGACAGGTTTTTGCTATAGGGTGCATGTGCTTGCCAGACAGACAGACAGAAAGAAAGAAATTATCCCTCGGGGTGATGGCCACGCCACAATCCCTTCTCCTCCACTCTCCTCTTGGGATCTTGGGCACACATGCACATGTACCCGGTGTGAGTTTGAGCCACCGAGTCTGAGACTTGCGCCACAGTTGACTACATGGGAGTCCAGCGACATAGCTATTATGCCATCTATTGGTCTCGGTTTTGTGGTATTTTTTTTTTTTTTAGGAATTATTTATTTTATTTATCTTATTTTTTTAGAGGTCTTTGCCTTAGGGTACATGTGCTTACCAGAGAGAGATGGAGACAGAGATGGTGAGAGATAAAGTGAGAAATCACCCTCCCGGGGGGGTGACCATACCACAATCCCTTCTCCTCCATTCTCCTCTTAGAATCTTGGGCACGCACGCACATGTGCCCAGTGTGATTTTCAAGGCACCGGGTCTGGAATCCAAACTGCAGTAGGCCATGTGGGAGTCCAGCAACATAACTGCTATACCATCTACCAGCTCTTATTATTTTTAATTTGGTGTAGACCATGTGTGCTCACCAGAGAGACACAAAGAAAGACAGAGAGAGGAAAGTAAAAAAAACAAGCTGCCAGATCCGGGACCCGAACCATGTGGAGCCCAGCTCCTTAACCGCCACTGGCCCCTGTCAGTCTCTTATTAAGCACCAATTACACACCAGTCACTGTGTTGTTCCCTAGGGTACAAAACACAGAGCAGGCCTGGCCCTCAGAAACCCACAGGCAGAAGACCGAATGGCAGGTTCACAGACAGCACACACATCTCTCCCTGTGGTGCAGGTAGAAGGGCTACGGGAATTCCAGGGACCCCAATCTGGATGGAGGTTGGGGGAGTCACTGGCTGTGGTCTGAATGTATGTGTTCCCCAAGTTCATATGTTGAAATCCTCACCCCAAGGTGATGGTATTAGGAGGTGGGACCTTTGGGAGGTGACTAGGCTATGGAAGTGGAGTCCTCGTGAATGGGAGTAGTACCCTTATAAAAGGCCCCTTCCACACACGACAACGCAGTACTGAACCAGGAAGGAGGCCCTCTCCAGACACCAAATTTCATGGTCTCTCCATCTCGGACTTCCAGCTCCCAGAACAGCAAGAAATAAGGTTCTATTGTTAGAGCCAGCAGGTGGTATGGTGGCTAAGGGCACTGGACTCCCACGTGGCCAACTGAGGTTTGAGTCCTGGACCAGGCGACTTGCTTTCTCATTCTCTCTTCTCTCTCTCTCTCTCTCTCTCTCTTCTCTCTCTCTCTCTCTCTCTCTCTCTTCCTCCCTCCCTCCCTTTCTTACTCTCTCTCCTCTCTCTCTTTCCGTCCCTCCCTCTGTGGTCAAATTTAAATTAATTAATTATTGAAAAAAAGAAATAAATTTCTTTTATTAGTCACACAGTCATAGCCATAAAGGACTGTTTCTACATCTCCACTCTCTGCCCCACATCCCCGGAGGTCACGTTCCCAAAGGCCAGCCACCAGGTCGAAGCAGTTGCGCTCTGAGTGGCATCGCCAGGTGAACACACATGCGAGCATGCCTTGCCCGTGGGTGGAGCCACAGGAGAGGCCTGAGCCTCTCAGCACTCAGGCTAAGCGCACGCGTAGGAGGGAGGGCAGAAGACCCCGGACAGCAGAGCGTCTCCGACCGCCACACAGCACGGAGCCTTTGCACCCTAGGTCTCAGCTGGAACTCCCCAGCAGCGCCCAAGACAAGGCAGGTGCTGTTTTTGCCCCTGTTTTCAGAAGGACAAACCAAGATTCAGAGAGATGGAAAGGATTTGCCCCGCCTTCTGCCTGGTCAGCGGAAACGCCGGCTCTGGATCTTTCCTCCCCAGGCATCTGCTGGGCCTCTCTGGGCATCGGGCACCCCAAGGCAAAAGGGACACAGTCCCGGCCCCTCAGAGGGGACAGCCGCAAAGTGGCAAGAGCACAGACACAGGCTCTGTGTGAGCCCCCCACTCCGACTTCCCACGGAGCGGCATGAGCTGAGCTCGTTGCTAACCTCTGCACCTGCCGTGTTAGCCTCAGTTCATAAAACTAACTTGCGGGCCAGCAGTTGGCGTGGTGGTTAAGGGGCTGGACTCCCTCACAGCTGACCATGGTTCTATTCCTAGAACGGCGACTTGCTTCCTCTCTCCCTCTGATCAAACTGAAGAAGAATAAATACAATTAAGTAATTCTAAAAAAAAAAAAATCTAAACCTGGCCTGCCTCATGCATGAAAGCTCCAAATGCCCGCCTCAGCTCAGAGTAAAGTCCAGCCCCTTAGCAGGGCCCCTGTTCCCTTACCCAGCTCATTTTCTAGCTCTGTCCGCCCCTCGTCCCAACCTCAGCTGCACTGGCCACCCAGCGGTGCCTGGAGCAGGACAAGCACCTCTAACCTCTGACCTTTGCCCTTCTTGTCTGTCTTCTGGACATTCTCCCTCCAGGTGGACACCTGGCTGACTCAGGTCCACCTCCTCACAGAGGCTATCCCTGGTCACTGCATCCAAAACGGAACACAGGGGTCAGCAGGTGGCATGGTGGTTGAGGCCCTGGATTCCCATAGCGCTGACCACAGTTTGAGTCCCAGACCTAGCAGCTTAGAGTCTCACTTTTCCTCTCTCTCCTTCTCTCTCACTCTGTCTGTCTGTCTCTGGTGAGCACGTGTGCCCTGTTGCAAATTTAAAAATAATAATAATATAATAATGATAAATAAAATTAAATAACTAATTATTTAAAAAAGAGAAGTGAGACAGTCCTTGTCCCCTGTGAGGGACAACCATACAGTGGCAAGTGCACAGGCTGAACCTTGACTCTTGACGTGGGGACATTCTTGTCTTCTCGAGGGGACAGTCCTTCAAGGCGTTCTCTATCATATGACGTGATGCTACACGTGTGCTGACCGTGTGTTTATGACCTTCCCGCCTCGTACCTCGTACCCGAGGGTGAGAACATGCCCATTTTGTTCACTACCACATCCTTGTGCCTAGAACAGTGCTTGGCACGTACTAGGACCTCAGAAAGTTTTCATTACATGAATGAATCAATGCCTCTCAACTTCCTCCCCCTTTAAAGTGATTCCTACAGGGGCCAGTTAGGGCATTGGGTCCCACATGGCCAACTGCAGTTCGAGTCCTGGACCTGGAGGCTTAAAAATCACACTAGGCACATGTGTATGCATGCCCAAAATCCCGGGAGGAGAATGGAGAAGGTATTTCAGTGTAGCATCCCAACTGGGGGACGATTTCTCACTTTCCCTCTCACAATTTTTTTTCTCTCTCTCCCTAGCAAGCACATATCTTATGGCAAAAAAAAAAAAAAAATCCTGAAAAATAAAATAAAATAAGAGATTTCTGGGACCAGCAGTTAGCATAATGGCTATGTCTCTGGACTCCCACGTAGTCGACCACGGTTCGAGTCCCGGACCCGGTGGCTTAAACTCACGCTGGCGCGTGTGCGTGCATGCCCAAGATCCCAAGAGGAGAATGGAGGAGAAGGGATTGCGGCTTGGCCATCCCCCCTGGGGGGGTGATTTTTCGCTTTCTGTCTCTCTGTCTCTCTCTGTCTCTCTCTGTCTGTCTGGCGAGCGCACGTGCCCTGTAGCAAAAACCTCTCCAAAAAAAATAAAATAAAATAAAAATATAAAAGATTCCTATAGGGCCAGCACATGGCGTGGAGGTTAAGCTGCTGGGTCCCACGTGGCTGGCTGCATGGTTTGAGCCCTGATTCCAGCAGCTTGAAAATCACACTGGGATCCTGTGTGTGCGTGCACTAAATCCTGAGAGAATAGAGGAAAAGGGATCCTGTCGTGGTCACCCCCCCAGGGGCAACGTCTCCTCTCTCCCTAGCAAGCTATGGGGCCAGCACATGGCGTGGAGGTTAAGCTGCTGGGTCCCACGTGGCTGGCTGCATGGTTTGAGCCCTGATTCCAGCAGCTTGAAAATCACACTGGGATCCTGTGTGTGCGTGCACTAAATCCTGAGAGAATAGAGGAAAAGGGATCCTGTCGTGGTCACCCCCCCAGGGGCAACGTCTCCTCTCTCCCTAGCAAGCACACAAGCCCCGTGGTAAAAAAAAAAAAAAAAAAAAGTAAATAAATAAAATAAATCCCTGCAGCCACACGGTTCCAACGGTCACACGATGCAGGAGGCGTGGAGCTGGTGCCGGCACACAGGAACGGTAGCGACAGTTATCGTTATCCTCGTCCCCATTGCCATCGCATGAGGGAGACAGGTGCGAAACTGCCGTGTGGGGAAGGCACGTCCTCCTGGGCCCCTGCTCCCCTTTGGGGCTCACACAGCAGCCCCTCCATCTGCCTGAAGAACAGGGTCCCAGGCTTTGGCCCAGGCTGTCAGGGTCACCCTCAGGGTCAGGAGACCTCTGGGCCCCGCCTGGGCTGGGGGCAGTGGGCAGAGCCAGGAGCAGGCCTCGGAAACCCGTGATTTCCCCCAGAAGCAGGCCCCACATCAAAGCCAATCTCCCAGGGGCGAGGCCTGGCGATAAATGGAAGATTAAAGAAGACCTCGGTCTCCACAGGCCACAGGGAGAGGCGCCGGCAGGCGACCACAGCGGGGAGGCCCAGCAGCCCTGGCAGCAACTATCTCGGGGGGCAAGAGGAGGGAAAGGGCCTGGGCCTGGGGAAGGGGGTCCAGGGAGGATCACCCTAGGACGGAGTTGGACTCT